TCAGGGATCTGAATCACCCCCTCCCAACTAACATTAGGGGTAACTTTTCTGAGCCTCTACTTCCCCATCTGTAAAATGGGATTGAAAATAATACCTGCCCTTCCTATGGCCCAGATTTTTGTGAAGAGCAAAAGAGATGATAAGAAAGCATTCTAGGTAGGAGACTGTTATAAACTGATCTGTTTGGTCAATTTGCATTTTGCGTGTTTGGTTCTTTGAAATCAGAGCTACAGTGTAGCTTTGCTCCTTGCCCGAATTCTTTGGGGTGAATTAGCTCTTGCTGGAGCATCTGGTACACCAGTGACACACAGAGTCCCCAGCGGGTGTGAATTGGATACGAAGCGGGGAGAGACGGAGGGAGATTCTTATCAGGGGAGGGCAGGGAACACTCTTTGTGCTTAGAGCAGGGGCCATGTGGGATGAAACAGAGTTTGATATGTGTAATACAACCTTGTCAGACACTGCAGCCAGCTCTTAAAAAAAATAAAAAAGCCTTTAATAGTTGGGCCTCTCTCTAGGCAAGAGGCTGATCCTATCACTTCAAGTACATCTTCAGACCTGGCCAGACATCAGTTGTTCCTGGCTTCAGACAAGCAGGTTATCCTGGAATGCTGACTTTTCTATAGTCAGTGCAGCGTGCTTGTTGTATACCTACTGTGTGCCCTACATGTTCCCCGTCTTCCAGGATGAATGACCGGGTATTCAGTCACAGTGCCTTGCGCACAGTGGGGATGACGCCAACACTTGTCAGCTGACTGCCTTCATCCGCTGACCACAGAAGGAAAATGGGGCTGAAAGGAGAACCCCAGGTCTCTCATCCTGGTCGTGCTCTCTTAACTGAAGAGAGCATTTTTATCCACCATGTGAGGACCCCTTCCTTTGGGGCATTCACCTTGATTCTTGCTTTCTGCGCCTTGGTCCTACCTTCTGGACCAAATTTGAAAGCTCTGGTGTACACTTAAATTCCCATCAGCTTCCCATCTTCTGAGCCCCAGTCTTCTACCCCTGAGGACACCCTGGCTATGCATTCTGGGAACCGCCATTCTTTGTAGATGCCCAAACTCGAGGGGTCCCAAGCAGCTTGGGAGAGCTGAGCCTTGTGCCAGGTGGTTAGCACTCACTGATCTCAGGTGATGTGCCAGGTGCCTGAGAGTCAGAGGCCAAGCGCACTCTTTCCTGGTTCCCTTTCCTTCTCCCTTTCTCCCCCACACCCTCTCCTGGAAGGATCCCGCTCTGGTGTTCCAGTGTCTTTGTGGACCTCATCCTGTTCAGTGAATGTTGATGGCCTTTCTTCTTACTCTTTCTCTCCCTTCAAGTCCTTTTTCTTTCCTTTCTAGTCATGTCCTTTTTTAAAATTTTTAAAAAACATTTTATTTATCGTTGTTCTTCATAATCAGGGCATTCTTTGGTTCTCTTACTATGTGACAATTTGATGTCCTTTCAGAAAAGGGCCTTCTGGGGCTTGCCCTGTGGCAGGAGAAGGCTCGACGGGGTATGTGTGGCATTGCTCATGCTCGCAGAAAGGGTTGCTGGGACAATAGATGGTTTCCCAGGCCCTGGTCTTGCTGTGTCTTACGGCTGCCTGGGCAGCCTGCTTGACCCTGTACTAGGCAGCTTGTTCTCCAAGCCCACCCAGACCCTCCACCAGGCTGGATTTAGTTGTTGGAGCTCTGAGTTATAATCCTGAAGGTGATTGTGGGTGACAAACTCCGAATCACCAAGCTTTACAGTTGGAAATCACCTCAGTGGTTTCCAAATGCCTGTGTGGCCTGGCTGCCTTAGAAGCACCTGGGCAGGATTAACCTCCAGCTTCGCCAAGTCATTACTCTGGTGGGAGGAGATTGAAAGAGACTAAAGAAAATACCAAATCATGAAATGTTTTCTTCTAGGCTATAGGATCATGAGTGATTTTTATTTTCTCCTTTCTAATTTCTTGTATTCCAATTTTTCTACAGTTGTATTATTTTTATGACTAAAATAGACAAGAGATGTTACTTCTGATTTTAAAAAATGTCACTCAGGGAAGCATTTCAATATACAAATTCTTGGGCCCTTCCCTGAAGATTCTGCCCCAGTTGTTCTGGGTGAGACTTGAGAACTCTGTATTTACAATAGCACCTCAATGGATTCTGTGACATAGCAGGTATGGGAACCACTAATACCATACCTGCACTTCACCTATGAGGAGAGGGAAGACTCAGGCTGGCTGGTGAGAGAACTCAGCAGACCAGGTCCTCTGATTCCAGGCCCCCAGGAGCCACCCACTGTCTAGAGTGCCTCCTTCCTGATTCAGGAGCCCTGAGGCCTGTCCCAGGCAGAGGCACAGAACCTAGGTCCTTCCTAAGGCTGGTCCCTTGTGGACCTCAGCCAGTCTGTGTCTCCCAGTAATGTCTCCACCTTCCAGTCTAATATCACTGTCTTCTGGGTCCCTAGAACCTGCCATGATTAGAGTGAGGATTCTTTCTTGCCTTATCTGCAAAGACCATGGCCCAGGAAGTTACCCAGAGCAGTAAGTGGCCTCCATTAGGGGAATGGGGAGAGATTGAGGCCTACGGAGATAGCATTGGTTCAGGCCCCAAATCGTAGAGCTGTGATCTCCTTTCCTTGGCCCTTGAGCTGTTTTGAGATGATTTAGAGAACAGGAAGATGGAGGGCCTGCTCTGGTATAAAGGTATGTGGTAGCACTTGGAGCACAGTGGTAATGAGTAAGGACGTTGCTCTAGGGCCAGGTGGTCTGGATTTAACCCAGTCCCTGCTACTTACTATCTATGTAGCCAGTTGCCTAACTCTCTAAATGATCTCATCTGTAAAATGGGCATGATAGTATATACATGTGTCATAGGGTCGTTGAGAGGATCAAAGGAGCTTAATGTGTGTAGAGCCCTTCTTCTAATACTCTAATGTGTCTTAAAGTCACCTGGGGATCTTGTAACAGATTCAATAAAGACTTTAAAAATGGCCCATATAAAAAAAAAATCTTTAAAAAAAAATGCATTCTGATTCAGTACATCTACGTTTCTTATAAGCTCCCAGCTGATGCTGAAGCTGCTGGTCCGTGGACCACACTTTGAGAACCAAGGACATAAACCAGAACCTGACATACTCAGTTTACAGTGACTGGATCGTGGTTGTTATTGTTACTTGGCCTTTTCAAAGAGGCACCTGAGGAGCCTCTAAATTCCAGCAGACTGGCCTCCCTAGAGACCAGTCTTTTCCTGGATTTTCCTCCTATTCCACCCATGACCTTTGCACCTGTCCTGGGTAGCAACTGGGGAGGGGAGACAGGAGGAGGGGGTGCTCTGTCCAGCTGCTGCAGGCAGGCCTGAGTCTTCAGGTTTGCAGCTGAATCCGTTTTCATGCTGCTTTACTCTAACCAGATTTTGTTAAGCCTGGTGTGTTTCCTCTTTTTACTCGTCTTTGTTTACAAAACACAAGGAAGCCATCAGTCTCTGCAGCCTGCCAGGCCTCCTCTGTGGCACACCCTGCCTTCCCTCCCCTTCCTAGCAGGAGCTGTGCTTCCAGCTTTCTGGGTTTTCCAGTCTCCCCTTTTGCAGGGAAAAGAGCAGCGCTGTTGCTACAGATGGGGGGTGTGGCTGTCGGGGGGATATGGATACGTGACAGGGCCCTGAGGTCAGCCTCAGTTGACATCTCACCTCTCCTCTTTCTCTGTGGCCTCAGGCAGGGTGATAGGGAACCCAGCAACCTGCCCAGTTGCCTGGGGACAGGTCAGGGGGGTCAGGGCCTGACGTCCCTGGGAAGCTCTGGGAGTCCAGGAGCTCTGGGGACTGACTTTCCAACTCTGCCACTGACTTATTCTAGCCTCTTCTCAGCTGACTGGGGGCCGGGGCTGTGGTTAACGACTGCAGGGGCTCCAGCTCCCCTACACACGCACACCTCACATAAACGTGATTGCTGCCCAGGCTGCTGCAGCAGTCCAAGTCCAGCCTCTGTGCTGGCTCCCTTTCTGCACACTAGGTTTTTATTCCCCTGTCCACTGAGAACCCCGTGGAGAGGGCCCCAGCCTCTTCCTCCTGCCCTGGCAGATAAAGAGAGAACAAAGACCGCCTCTCCCAGCACCCCTCAGTCCCCTCCAGGCCTCTGCCAGTACCTGTGTGGGTGGGGCACCAGCCACAACCCTGTGAGTCACTGACCCCTGACCTTTGCCCCAAGCTTCCCTGCCTGACAGTAGGACCTGGGATAACCTCCAGAGAGTAGTGTGCATTCTTTGTTTTTGTTTTGTTTTCAAGTATGTTCTTGCTTAACGTTTAATTGGCTCCAGTCAGTAGGAAAGCGCTCCAAGAGGGATTATTTATGGCTTACTGTCAAGAGCAGCTATAAAAAGGGCAGCGCGGAGCTGAAGATGCTGGGAAGGGAGAAAGGGCAGGCGCCCAAGTGTGTGTGTGTGTGTCTGTGTGTGTCTGTGTGTGTCTGTGTGTGTGCGTGTTTGCACTGGATGAAATCAGATTTTTGCTGCCTCAGCAGTGTGGTTTAAATGGAAGATTAACCCTTTGACCTTCACAGTGTCAAATCACTTGCAGATGGAGGCTCCCCCCCTTTCCCCCTTGTTCTCTGTGTTACTTTGGAGTTGGGGGAGAGAGGGGGGCACTTCTTCTCTTTCTTTCTGAAGAAAGTTTGTTGTTCGTGCAGCTGAGGTTTGAGGAGCTCAGGAGCCAATCTGATTAAAAGCAGCACTTGGCTAAACTCTGGAAAATCCTGCAAGCAGGGGAAAAAGTTTAATCCTCTTGTGCACAGTGCATAAAGAGCCTGGTCTTTTCTTTTTAACGTTCACACTGCAATTGTATATGGAGAACTCTGCTATCTCCCCCTCATCGCCGCTTCTCTCATCACTCCCCCAAATCCCCTATGTCCCCGAGTTTGTTGTCCTGATGGGATTAAAGTGCTGCTCTGGGACGTGTGGATCTGAACTTCTGCACTGGAAATGATAAGCTGTCATCTAAGGTCGCGTTTAGGAGTTACATCGTCTGTTTTTTTTCTTTTAGCACCAGCAGAACCGAAATCGCGTGTGGTGGCAGATCCTCCTCTTCCTACACAACATTGCTTTGAATGGAGATGAGAACAGGAACGGGGCAGGTCCCAGGTGAGGCTGGGCTGCCCCCTTCGCATGGGCACCATGGAAGGACATCGGCGAGGACTGATACTGCGTCTTGTGAAGTTGTTGTTTTGCGTTTTTATTTTTAAAATTTCTCTGTGTACATAAGACATACCCAAGCAGGACCTCTTTCCCTGTTCAGGGCCTCAACCAGGAGTGGGGGCCTTCGTCAAACACTGTTGAAGTAGAGGCTGGTGTGTCTGTGACGTGGAACCTCCTAAGGGCTTGGACAAGTAGATCCTTCTGTCATCGGTTGTTGAAGATGACCAGGTAGTGATCTCCCACGAGTGGACTGTAGTTTTCCCACAGGAACTTAAGAGATAGGAGCCTGGATTAGCCTTGTGGTTCCACCAAACCTGTCAGCCTTCCACCGTGAATGGAGCCCCTATCCGACGGGTCACACTGCTTTAACCGCCCCCACCACCCCAGGGCCTCAGCCAGGGGCTTTCCAGCTGTGCATGGCAACTTCACTAGGTCGGTCAGCCAGCTCCATGTCTGGGCTCTCATTGGGCCCAGGCATCGCCCGCCCCAAGGGCTCAGGGATTCTTGCCCAGCCCCTGTCATCTCCAGCAGACCTCAGGGAGGGTTGGGTTTCTCCATGGACCCTCAAAAAGTGCCGCAAAAATGAACCAAACTTCTGGGTAGGCCTCACGTCTGCCTTGGTTCCACTTGGAAGCCCAGGATTGGTCCTGAGGTGCAGAACCACTGCCCACTCTGGCTGCCCGGGACTGGCTGGGTGTCAACCATGGAGGAGCCAAATAGCCAGTCAATGTGCTGTAGCCAGCAGCTGGTGCCTTTGTCGGGTCTTCTTTTGAAAGAGCCAGCCAACAGACTGCGTCCCACCCCCAACAGCAGCACTCTAGGGCCGGAAGAGACAGGACCGGACTGTGGAGGTGCTGGGAAACCAGGCGGCCATCCCACCCATAAGAGTAAGCCCTAGAGGAACCCAGACCCCTTGGTTTCCTTGGAAACCAGTTACCTCCTCCCTTTTATCCCCATTCCTTTCTCACACCTAGTGGGATCCAGGAAGAAGCCAGCATAGTGGCTTTGTCAGCTGAAACCTGTCTTTTAGAGTAACAGACCGTGATCAGAGTGAGGAACTGTCAAAGCTGGGTGCACATTTCCCGTCTTCCTTCAGCTTCCAGCCAGGCCAGAGAGGCAAGCTCTGGAACTCAGCAGGATCACCACTGCCTCTGAACTCCTTCTTTTCTCTCCCTGCTGTGGCACTAATGGAGAGAATTTAAAGCAGCCCGCCTGGCAGATCTGAGAGCAGACACAGGGAATCTGAAAAGATGCAGGGAATCTGTTAACTGGACACCTAGAAATTAAATTATCATTTTTTCATATGTGAGCAAAGTTAACATTGGTGCTAACGGTGAAGCAAGGCCCGAAGAAAAGATGGCTTCCCTGGGCAGAGAAGGCCCCAGGGCTACCCAAGGAAACTGGAGGAGTCCAGAGCAGACTCTCATAACTGAACAAGTCCCAGCTCCTCTGATTGTGCAGAGAGGAGGTCTTCGTTACCACTGAAGGACACACTGATCTGGATGTACAGTCAGGCAGGTTGTTCACTGCACAAGGGCACCGGCAGAGGAAGGTGATGGAAGCTAGAATCTAGCCCATGCTCTGCTCACTAAGTTGTATGCCCTAGTGTCGGGCTGTGCCCACTTACAAGAAGGGTGCCTTTCCTAATTTGCACAAAGGTGCCCTATGAGCTCACAGTGGCTTGAAGAAGGACTTCAATCTGTGCATCAGCCTTGGTTTTGTTCTGCTTGGATATTCTAGAGGTATTACCTACCTATTCTTGGCCAGAATTGTATTCTCAGGGTGTGTACCATGGTTTGTCTGCTAAGAAGATAGGTTCCTTCTTAAAGAGAAGGAACCCAGGGAACAGGCATGGAGACTGGTGCTGGGATAGGCTGACCATTGTGAAATCCAGCCTTCTCTGTGGGTCTTCACACCATTTTTCTGATGTGCAGGGGACATGTGTTATTTTTCCCTCTCCTGGACCAAGGCTGTGACTGGCAGGGTGCCGGTATATCTTGAGTGGCACACATAAGAAAACAGGATTATTTTTATCAGCCACTTTTACCTCCTCTTAGCAGACTTGCCATGTGAGCTGCGTGAGAGTGCAAATAAATGGTCCAGGCCTTGGTGCCTAGGCAATGCCATTGGCCTCAAGAGACCTTGCTGGGCTGAGCAGGATGTCCAGTGGCCTGTCCTGAGAACTGAGCCCACAGTCTGAGAAGCTCAGTTGAACATTGCACCTGGGGCTGGGTAGAGGGTGGTCTGACTGCATTGTCTCCATATTCCATGAAGCCAGGAACTAATTCACTATCCTAAGCAAGCCAGAACCAAATGTGAAACGCCCCTCCTTCCCTTCCCGCCAGAACCCAGCAGGTAGAATAGTCCCAGGAGGAAGAGGTTCCTCCTGGCTGGCTGTTTTTAATTGGTGTAGCGATCTAGACTGGCCTCTTCCCCCTCTGCTTGGTGACTTGGTCTGAACATTCCTCAAGTTCAACCTCAGGAGACCCGTCCCTCCCCCTGGGCTCCCTCTCCCCAGCCCCCACCCCCAGGAGCTTGGCTGTCTCCAGTTAAGGGGTGGAGAATCGGTTAGAGGGAGGGAGAGTCTGACCTGGCTCCTGACCTGTAACGGACTTGTGGAGCTTTTGTGGTTTGCTGAGGGTGGGGTTCGGGAGAGGGACTGGAAACTCTTCCCTGGTAGGAATTGCCCTATGGAGGGAAGGGAAGCCTGATGTTCAGGGTCAAAACAACTCTCCTCATTAAGAACCCCAGAGTAGGGGCTTCTGGAAGGTGGTAGAACTAGGGAGGGACCCCCCTCAGGCCAGCTGTCTGACTCACTCAGACAGTTCCTGGACTCAGCTGGGCCTCTATGTTTGCCTGCTTCAAAGCCTGGGCTGGTGGAAGGCTGCCCTGGGGCCTTTTCTTGCTTAGTCCAAGGATCACCTTCCTCAAGCTCCCAGGGCAGGGGGCTTATGTGACAGGCATGTCCTGAATGCTCAGAGGGGCCCAGCTGACTTGTCTCTCTGTCCCCAGTAGCCCAGCCTCATCCAAGGATGGGTTGGACATGGCAAGGAGGGACATGGTCCAGCCAGGGCCTCCTCTACTTGGGGGCTGGGGAGCCACTGTGATTGTCCTGGTTAGCACGCAGAGAGTTCTGATGAAGTGAGGTGGGGCAAGTGAGGGATAGCAGAAGCAGGCACATCGGTTCTGTGGGGGCTTCTGCACATTGGTGCTGCAGGGTCCCTCTGTGTGTGGGTGGGGACACCTTGGTGAGAGACCACTCAGGCTGACTCCTTAACTCATTAGCCTGTGAAGCCTCCTGGGGACACTGAGCAGTGGGTGTCCAAGGCTGGTGGGCACTTTGAGCCTTGAGGGAACAGCAGAGCAAGCCATGCACTTCGCAGATGCGTCAGCCTCTCGGGCTGAAGGTGCTGAAGGCTGCAGGCTCCTAGTCTGCACTGCCCTTCTCTCTGCTCAGCAGACCAGTGCCTCTCCCTGCTCTGTGAGCATCGCCCAGCAGGTTGCTCCATCCCTGGGTCCACAAGGTCTGTGGGGGGAGACCTAGTGAGAATGTAGCATTTTGTCCCTCCCAAGTTAGCTGTCCTGGGTTCACTGCGCTCTGCCTCTGGGAGAGAGACAACAGAAGAGAGGGAGGGGATGGGAACTCATTGTTTCTAAACCTGTACAGGATATTTGGCTTTGTGTTCTTCACATGCATATATGTGTATATATCTTTATCCCCATCAATTGGTACAGTTTTTAATAAAACCATTTAAAGCAAAGCTGGTTTTTTCCAAGGTGTAGTCAAAATGCAAGGGGGTCTGTTAACGGATTAGAGATTCCCAACTTGCTTCTCCCAACTCGCTTCTTGCTGCCCTCATGAGTGACACCCCACCCCCGCCCGGGACCCCAGCTTTTGTCAGGACTTCCTTTCCTTCTTAGGGTAGTGAAGAGACATTCTGATCACACAAGAAGCACAGCAGAGGCCCCATGAAGTGGAAAAACACAAACTTTGGATCCAGACCTAGATTTGGATTCAGTTCCAGCCTCCACCAGGTGAATGACCATAGGCAAGTCAAATAACCTTTCTGAGCCTTCAGTTATTCTGTGTGTAAATTACTGGCATGCCTGCCCTGCAGGATTAAAGGGGGTGTGGACAAAGGGTCTGCCCTGGCGCCAGCCCTTGGCAATGGCAGCCTTAGTGACCAGAAGTGCCCTGGTGGCCCCTCCGCACGACTCCCCACCCCTGTCATCCTAGGCCTCGCTTTCCTTTTATCAAGGTAGCATCTCACAAGGTAGGCTAGTTGTAGGAGGACTTACTGGCTTGTCTTTGAGGATTAACAATGTGTCTGACTCAAAGGGGTAAATTAAAGCGCTTGACAGAGTTCTAAAAATCCTTGGGAAAAACCACTCACAGCAGTAAGCTGTGAACCGAAGGGCCAACTCACTCAGCCTGTGCTGGGCGCCCCCATGACCTGGGAAGGTGTTGACTCTCTGAGGACCAGCCTTGGACTCTGGTTCCTAGCCTGGTAGAAAGTGGGCACTTGAAGTGATGTCAGTTGTCTTGTCTAACCTCTTCATTTTAAGGAGGAGAAAACTGAGGCCCAGAAAGGGGATGCAGTTTTCTCTTGGGACTTTTTAAACGGCTGAGTCAGTCAGAGTGGGTCTCACCCCATCCATCTTGGTTTCCATTTGGAAATTGCAGTGCTCTTGCCTAGATCTGCAGGGAAGCCAAAACTCATCTATTTTTAATGCCAAATAACTGCCTCTTCTCCTGTAAAACATGGCACTTCTAACCACTCTATATTTGGACAGCAAGGTTTATTTTTACTGGAGTGTGGTAGAAGTGGGGCCTGGTGCCATATCCGGATGTTATTCTACATTTCACGTGCGGGGTTGCAGTTGCGCCCTTAAAGCAGCTCCTCTGAGGTTCGCGGGGTATTAGGTGATTGTGACAGAAATGACTTTCTTTCAAGTTGTCTATGCTTGCTTTAGGTGAGGCTGCACTGAGGTGCCCAGCTAGAAACCTGATAGCTCACCTGTCCTAGCCAGGCCCTCCATTCTCTCTCTGATCCCTCCAGAAGTCCAGTGAGAAGTTAAAGGCACAGCTGCCCAAGCTTGAACCCAGGCCCTGCTGTTTGTCAGCTGAGCCACAGTGGGCAGGTCACATAGTCTCTCTGTGCCTCGGTTTCCTCGTCTGGAAAATGAGATGAAGATAATCTCATAAATTTGTTGTGAGCATTAAATGTGTGACTCTGTGTAACGGACTTAGAATAGTGCTTGTTACATGTTCATTTTAAAATGTATATTAGCTGTTAATATTATTACTTTTATTATTATGATTTGTAGGCAGATGACCAATAAGCTCTGACCATTCTTATCTGGAAATAGCCCCCGCACCTATCTTCTGTCTACCTCTGCTACCCTGTTTCAGGGTCAGCTTTTTCCCTGGACGACTGCAAGCCCCTACCTGGTCTCTTTCCCTATCTTGCCGCACCCCCAGCACCTTCTCCGCTGCCAGGGCACCTTTCTAAAAGACAGACTCCATTCCACCCCTCTCCACTGGAAAACTCGTTCTACTCTATCCAGTCCATATTCATTTCTTAGCCTCTCCAGTCCCCCTTGTATGAATATTCCGACCCATAGAAACTTGGGTTTCTATGGATCAGAATAGAATGGTTTGCCATTTCCTTCTCTACTGTATGTGTATTCTTATATGTGTATTAAGCATGACAAATTATCCCTAAATGTAACTGATTAAAGGGATTCCCAGGTGGCTCAAGTGGTAAAGAGTCCAGCTGCCAATGCAGGAGACGTGCGTTCAATCCCTAGGTCGGGAAGATCCCCTGGAGGAGGAAATGGCACCCTACTCCAGTGTTCTTGCCTGGGAAATCCCATGGACAGAGGAGCCTAGTGGGCTACTGTCCATGGGGTCACAGAGAGTCAGACACAACTGAGCAACTGAGCATGCACGCATGTAAACCTCTTAAAACCACCAGTCATCTCCCAGTTATTTATTATCATCTCACAGTTTCTATGGGTCAGGAAGTAGCAGCCCAAGGAGGCAGTATGTTGAGAGGCTAGTATAAAGATGGAGATTCCTGGAGCACCCATTCAGTTTACACTACACAAGTTCAGTGAGATGGGGGAACGGGGAGAGAGAAGTACATTCGCTAAGGTAGTGCAGCAGACAGGTCTCTGGCCCTGCATGCAGGGAACATGTGGTACCTGGAGTGAGTGTAACATAGGAACATAGGATGTGACATAGGAACATGCATGACCTCTTATCACACCAGCATCTTATCCCTCAAAGATGCTTTTTTCTGGTCCAGTCTGGCTCTAAATGTCTGGTTTCCTCGGCTGCTCAACCGAGGCAACAGGACTCTCTTCCAACCTGAAGGAAAGCTGGCTGTCTGGGGTTTCCTGAGCAGTGATCCTGTTGTGCTTCATGGGTGTCTGACAGGATTTTCAAGGGCAATTTTCACTTCCTGTGATTTTGGTCTTACAGGAAGCCTTAGAAGCAGTCCCTGTGGAAATTGAGACTCCACTGGACCCTGAAAGCAGTCATTCTGCCCTTAATCCCCTGCTTTCCTGGAGAAGTTTTGCCCTAAGTGGGAAGGGTCTGAATGGAATTAGAATTGGAACTGCCCTGAAGGGAGGGTGAGAGTACTGATGGAAGTGGCATCCAGTCTGGCTGTGGCTTTGCTGCCGTTCAGAGGTGCCCTGGCTCCGTGCTACTCTGCAGGCAGATCTCTCACGGGCTTTTGAACTAATGCCGAGCCCTGCCTGTGAGGCAACAAGGTTCACTGAACAAGTTGACGGCTCTGGCTGAGCCCCTTGCCAGGAGCCCTTCATCATGACGCCACTGTAAGTCCATGCATAGATTTGAAAGAAACGCATGATCCTTGCCCTCGACATTAGGTCCCAAAGAAAACCAGTTACTCTGAAGCAGTAAAAAGTTCACTTGGGTGGGATTAGGATTAGGGAGACAGGTTTTTAAGTTGACTCCATCACTAACTGGCTGAATGACTTTGGGCAGGGAAGTGACTTCACCTCTCTGGTCCTTGGTGTCCTCATCTGGACATTAGGGTGAAATCAGACTGCCTGTCTGTGACCTGCCCAGCATTTTCTTCTGCAGTTTCTTTGTTGGGTCTTAAGCTCTTTTAAAAGAGATTCTGCTGGAACTGTATACCAATCCTCTCCTCAGGAGAAGGCACAGAATGCACAGACTCAAGGATTTTTGTGTCAGATCCCAGGCAGGTTACTTGGTCTCTTAGTTTCCAGATTTAAGGACTCTAAGGACAAAAGCAAAAGAACAAGTAATGCAAAAACTCAGAAACCAAAGCAAGCTCTTTCCTCATTCTTCCCTTGCCTTTGCTTATCCCACAAGAAGTGATCCTCCCTCCCAGACACTTCACCCTTGTGTCCACTGTGAGGGAGAGTGGCGTCATCGCTGGAGGGACTATGTTTACTGCAGTCTTGATTTCAGAGACGCCCACTTCTCCATCAGCGCACAGGGGACTGAAGCTGTGACAGTGTTGTAGCCCTTCGATCTCATCCAGCTTGAAGCGGGGCAGTGAGTCTGGGCACCGTCCTATAAACTCAGGGAGGAAAGGGGCTTCTGATGAAGGTGTCTCGGAGGATCATGCTGAAGGAGCTGGCAGGAAGCAACTGGACGCTGATGATGAAAGAAAGCATGGCCCGTGGCTATGGCAGACCCAGGAGCTGCCAAGGTGAAAGGCCTGAGAACCCTGAGCACCCCTGATAAAAGGTTCTTGCTTTATACCTGAGTGAGTCCAGGGTTCTGCCTGGTGATTCTGCCTTTGAAGTGGAGAGGGATCAGTGCCTGGCAGCAACCTCATTTCTGACACATCATTACATTTGCCCAGAGTGCCCTTGAGCGCCAGGTACAGACTTTACAGGGACTGTACACGTACACACACACACACACCACACACACACACACACACAAGTGGGCTGAGTACTGGCTTAAACAGCGACAACAGTCTGGTAGATCAGCCCTGAGTCTGGTAGATCAAACCTGCAATCAGCGAGCCTTTTGCTGGAGCACTAAAGCTGGATACTGCTCAATGTGCCGCTGCTGTTGCTGTGCACCTAACCTCAGTGAATCCCTTCTGAAACGTAGAGAAGAGCTGGTGGTATTTCCTCAACTGAGGAAACTGAAATTCACCTGTAAGAATGGATGTCATACCATCAGGACCGCCTCTTGCCACTGGCAGCCACCATTTACCCAGAACAGGAACCAGCATTTTCTTGATTAGCATGTGAATGACTGTGTGCCTGTGTAGACAGGACTCCTGGTGGCAGGAACTGGTCTGTCTCATTCACCACTCTATCCCCACTATCCAGCAAAGAACCTGACACTTGCACAATGCTCAGAAACTTTTGTGGAAGGAAGGAGTGATGAATAAGAACGGGAGGAATGGAATGAGTACCAATGTGATATTCAGCGAGATAGGCCATTCTCGCCATATTTATTTCTGAACTCCTCCTGAGTCCCATGGGTCCAGGCGTTAAGTGGCAAAATGAATCTTGTTTCCTTTTCCTCCCCTGCCGAAGTCTAGAAGTCAGATTTTTGCAGACTTTCAGGAAACTTGACTTGCTCACTTTAGTAAGATTGAATGCAGGGATTTCTGGGCAGAGGTGGGGTCAGGGAAAGGGCGTGCTGGCACTGGGGCAGATGGGCTATGAGCAGTATAGGATGGTGGGTCAGGCTCAGTACTGGCTGTGAGCAGAACCCAAGCTCACCCAAGCCCATGGTGA